GACAGAGGCAGCGCATGAGCAGCGATTTTACTTATGGCTATAACTTTCTACAGAATTGACCTATCATGATGAAATTTGGCATACGGACACATTAGTACTAACTGGATGTACCTACCAAAATTGATTTCAAAATTCCGAGAATTACGGAAGTTATAAGAAAAAACACGAATTGCGGGGGAGTGGGGGGGTGCATCGAAAAAAAACTCAAACTCGTACTTTCTCGGCCTTAGGAGAATATGGAAACCAAGTTTGGTTATTCTAGCTCTTATACTTTCTGAGATCCTTGCGTTCATACGGACAGACAGACGGACAGACGGACAGACGGACGGACGGACAAGGCTATATCGACTCGGCTTCTCATCCTGATCAATAATATATATACTTTGTGGGGTCTGCCACGCCTCCTTCTGTGTGTTACATACATGCGCACAAAACTAGTATAGCCTTTCACCCTTTGGGTACAGGCTATAAAAATATAGCAATGAAAGATAGAAGAAAACCAATTAAAATTAAAATAATTAAATAATAAAAGATAAAATACCGTAATAATATGGTAGGAATGATATATCTGCAACTTATTCAATCGAAATATATAAATATGTAAAATATAAAAATATAAAATTTTCCGAATAATCAGGTTATAAAGAGTAATGAAATGTTTTCCCTAATTTAATGGGCACATTATCGAAAATATATCTTGGAAAATCCTTTTTGATTATTCAGCCAAATAAATATTTTTACGAAGGGCGATAATTGACGGAAGCAACATCAGGTTAATAAAAATACTTTTATTTAAACGCCTATGAAAATTTGTGAATTATTCTGAAAACATCTACTATCTTATTTTTCAGCAATTTTCAAATTTTTGACTCATCACTTTTTAGTGCGGCTACTAAGCAACTATTTTCCTGAAGAAATCAGTAAAACGGAGAATTTTGTATCATAGACAAGCCGGTAAAGCTATTTTCATTGAAGAAGTTTTATGGAATGTTATTAAGAAAAAAAAAAGAAAATGCTCAGCCAACTTAAAAGAGACTTAATGATCAATATCAATTTTATTTTATTCTGCAAAATACAAAGCAATTTTATTTTCGATAAGACAAAAGCCGCAATAAATATATTAAAATATTTTTTTGTTTTGAGAATGTTTTCGTTTAAACTAAATGAATATGTAAGTAATATGTACGTAGGCGCACCCTCTATCCCGATAAGTAGAGTGTTCATTTTGTAACGTGTTCATCTCTACTATTCATAGAATGTCAGCAGCTGCTTCTTGCAATATTCAGCAACTCCACATGTGCGGGATTGTGAGTTATGTGGCATGCATTATGTGAATGGCGTTGACCAGCCTGTCTGAGGATGTCTAAAACAATGGCGCAGCTGCACTGTCAGGCAGCCATAGGAGAAGGGGGAAGCAGGGAGCTTGGCTCAGTTGTTGCACAGAAGTAATCAGCCACTGCACAAAGTGGAGGAGTACAGACATCGACTGGTGATGGGGACTTGTCTGACATCCAGACTGCCAGTTATACTTGCAGTGCGCCAGGCCGTTGAGTAATTAGTTGTTGTGCATTGACTTTGTATGAGACTGTCGCAATGGCGGATGATTCAGCCTCTGCTGCTGCGACTGCTTAATTTCGCATGACAAATTGTTAATATGTCAAAGAACTGACGCAGCTCGGCACAAGAACACATGCACACACATATTCGGATTCATGGTATGTGTTTATAAAAGCCATAGACATGCCTTTATCGCTGTCAGCAACGCGATAAAACGCACACACACACTCAAACATTGTGGCAGTATTTGTGTGTTTCGGTCTGTTTGTCAAAAATTCAAAATTATTAAGAAATTTGCGTATGTATCTGCAGACACCGCTCGCACCATGCCTTGTCAACAACCACAAAAAATATATATCATAAAACAAGTATACGCCGCGTATTCGCCGTGCATAAATCATTTCGACGCAACCAATGAAGACAACATAAAGGCGAGGGAATCGCAAATTGTTGAATGTTGCTGCCGATGCTGGGCACCTGTCTCTCCGTCTATATCTTGGCAAAGGCTGAGTTGCAAGCGACATCCTTCTCCATATTAAAATCTACTCTGTGTTCCCTTTCTTTCTTTTATGGTCTGTGATTTGCAGCATTTGGCGCAGAGTCATGCAGTCGTATGCTGATAAGGTTGGGTATGTAGTACGTATTTGTGTTTGTAGCCGTCACAGCAATTACCCAAACGCAAACATTATGAGCACTTCTTGGCTTTTAAAATGGCGCCATCAGTTTATTTAAAAGACAAACATGTGTTGTGGAAGCGCCATCTTGAAACTTGAGGGCCACAAAGCAAAATGAGAAAAGCAGCAGCAGTAAATAAAAATAAGAAGTGTAAGTGGCGTACATTTCTAAATAATTAATCTGAAGAAAGGGAAAAACAAATTTTAATAATTAGCCGTCTTGAAAGCCCTTTTAGACATGATAATAAAATATTTATATGCCCAATATTTGGCAGAGTCTGCTGACATTGGTGGAGAATGGTTTCGATTCCCAGAAGTATACGGTTACTGTACGGCCGTTCAAGATTGAGCTTATCGCACTGATTCTCTGCTCTTAACCTGTTTTGAAAATGCATATAATACATTAATAAATATATTAAGTAATTAATAAAAATACATACCTAGATAAAGGCTACGAACGCTTTGAATACACTCGCAATTCCCTCATCCTATTCCATACAAGTGCATCGTGATAGACCGTCTATTTGTTGGTTACAGAAATTAAATTTGTTTGCTTTGCAACAGAAATTATTATGATAATACATTTTCTGATACTATAATTATAATTAAAAAAAGAAAGTTTGAACAGTCAGAGTTTCCTTTATTGAAGAAAAAGGAAATATAGCCATTTGTTTGTTATCTAATCTAATCGCAGAAACGTACTAAAAAGCGTTGAAAATATATTTCTCTTAGCCGTATACTTTATGGGCAATTACTACTTGGTGTTTAGCAAGTAGATCGTTAATTTATCAAACAGTATTTAAGTATTTGTCTGAAAGTCATTAAACATCCGTCTTCCGAGTGTCTGCTGCTTCTAATTAGATTCAAACATTACGCATTCGTACTAAAATATATTGAAAATTATTGCACAGCTGCCGCAAATTGTGGCAGCACATTAATAGCTTCGAATGTAATACTTAATGCAAACATGAATCGTACTTTATTGCCAATATATAAACACGTAGAATGATCTCAAATTGATTTCCCATGTTACTGCAAGCTCTGCGGCAGGATACTGGGTGCTGAAAGTCACAGCCAAATGGCCCCAAAACCAACAACGCAGTAAAATCAAATTCGCGGCAATGTGGCAACTTAGCAGCAAATGAATTAAATGAAGAAGCCATAAATTTGAATTCGAAAGAAAAAACCAACAAAGAAACAAGTGAAGTGCTACAATTGGCAGCTGGCCAGAGAGACAATGCAGTGTTATAAAAATGTTGCCTGCGATTGGGCGCCTCAGACAGGCGCCATCAGGAGGCGGGCTGATGATTAGGGTTTGTGTTCATAGCAATTAGTTCGCATAAATAAGACAGCTGTGGGCTGAGCAGACCACCACTCAACCCCCTCCCTATCCTACTCCTTGCTCCTTCCAAAGTGTTTTGCCTTTATCCTTGCCGGTGAGTTCTTTCAGTTTTTGTTTGCCGCACTGCAGCAGCAGGCAGCAACGCTCTGTGCATTTCATTTCCGCTACTGTATGTGTCAGCTCGCCATTTTGTAACTGTTACTTTTGCTTTTCTCTCCCTTCCACTCGCCCCTTCCCCCTCTTGCTGTCGCTCTTCTCATTTTTTCACACTGGCAATTTGCACAAATACACGACAAAATTAAATTTGTTTCGTGCATGTCCTAGAGGCGTTTTGTGTGTCATGCATTTTTACACCTTAATTTGCGGCTAATTTGCATATTGTATATTTTCGCTTGTTGCGCAATTTCAGTCACAGTTGCAGCCACCGCGGCTATTTGTGGCATTTCTCTCTTTCGCTCCCACACTCCACGCTCCCCCGCATTTTCCCTTGCTTTCCCCTTTTTTGTATGCGTCCGCAAACAGGTGTGAAAATTTTGTCACTGCTCGACAAGGACGGAAAAAAACTTGAAATTGCTTTAACAAAACTTTAAAGTACATGGCTTAACGGGTTGTTCCAGTAACATAAATTATTTAAGTGACGGAAAATATATTCCAAGTTTTCAAAAATAGGGGAGGTTTGAAATTCCTTTATTTTTGTTGATTTTTCGAATTCGTCTGTGTTGAATGTTTGTTAAGTAAATACTTGTAACCGAGATGTTAAGGCCAGCATTTTAAAATATTGTGAAGTGCGAACAGATTTAAGTATTCAAGAATATTAAATCACTTTAAACAACATAAAAAATCCCATACGTAGAAATGAATGGAATAAAATCACCAACGATCCTTATCAAATTTTAATATCAACATTTAATAATGTATTTATTTTATGAATGAGACCTAAGATGCATAGAATATTTAAATATTCGGATCCCACTAACACTTTCCATACAAGTGTTCTCACAACAATAAAGTTTTGGAATAGTAGGTTATATATGGTACATATTTTAAAATTACATTTAATACAATCCCATTCAATTCAAACTGGAATAATTTAAATGAAATCAATTCTTAAAAACCTTTTCGATTTGCCAAAAATTCTTCTCACAGAAAAATGTCTTCCCATCACATCATCAATACTTAGAAACTCTTCACTTTTAAACGAAGAATTGCGTATGTATTTGTCAACTTTTAAATTAAACAACGCAGCATACATTTAGGTATATTACAATATTCGTTGAACTAAAAAAAAAATTTTAATTATGAGAATATTTACAAATACATTTGAAACTTTATACTATAAAGTAATAGCATGCATTTTCATTTGGAATTTGTTATTTAAAGTAACTCAAAAAACAATTTGAATAGCACGTTATATTTGTACTGCATAATTTAGAAAATGCTTTTGAAGCCTTAATTCAATTCAATTTGAAACTAATGCAACATTGAAGGACGAGAGGATTAACAATTAATTAACATTCTGATGATTAACTGAATAATTTAACTAGTCCTAGCTCTAGAAAATGTACATTGATTATTTTAAATATTAATAATATTATTGTTAATTGGACGGTATCTACAAGTACATGAAACGACGAGGCCTTCCAGGTACTCCACACACATCGCTTCGCATATCTATTGTGATCCTCTTGGGCTCTACAGAGGGACCGCCGAAATGCCTTCTGCCCATTTATACCGATTGGTAGATGGGTTTCTGTGTCGCAGCTCTCTTTAGAGACATCCGTTGCCCCAACAGCCACACCAGGGTATCTTGCCACCTGTGTGCGAGCTTATCGATATCTTACGCCTATTGGAACGCATGCTGAAGCTCGTCGAGGACTCCCGGGACGAGGCGAAACTGTTTGAGTTGCGATCGGATAGCGAGGTGAAGGTCTCGTGGTTGCTATCCTGATGGGAATGGTGGCTGTGGTGCGGATTGTTGCTGATCAGCGAGCTGCTATGCTGATGGTGGTGCGTGTGGTGTGGGTGGTGGTGGTGACTGCCACCGCCACCGCCACCGCCTCCACCCCCGCCACTCGCATTACTATTTCGATGCACGCTATGCACAGTTCCCTCGGAGTGTCTTCGCGAGCATTTCGTGCGACTAACAGTGGCTGTCAAGGGCACCGCTTCGCCACTGTCCTTGCGGTGGTGGTGGTGTGTGGTGCTGGGCGGTGCAGAGTTCGTGGCTGCCACCTCGGCATGCCCAGTTGTCATTGTATTGCTAATCGCGCGCCTTCGCATGGAATGTGGAGAGTTGGGCGTACTGTGGCTGGTCTGCTTGCAGTTTTTTAAGTCCGGATGGGCCAGCACGGCTGCCGCCACGCTTGCCAGATCGCCACAGCTGGCAGTTGTGGTTGGTGCTTGGCTCACCAGACAAACACCACCTCCTCCATTGACTGCCACGGCACCCATCTGACTCTGTTGCTCCTCGCTGCACACAATGGAAACGCGCCGCGCTTTCCGATTCCCCGCATCCGCATCGCCATTCTGCAGAGAATTCAAGTTAATATTCATATTTAGAAAAATATTTGTCTAGGCTTTAGAAATATTCACCCTAAGATTTTAATTTTAGCGAAAATCAACTCCTAAAAACAATTTGCAATTTGCTTTAAATTTTCCCTGCAATTGGAATATTGTTCTATTAATAGAAAATTTGATTCCCAACATTAGGACAGTGACCGTTTTATAACAAATGATAATAATTTTGGAAAATTAGAAAACGCCTTGTAATAATATTTTGAAACAGACTTTGCTTAAAATATAGCAACATTTTTTTGATAAAGAGCTATTTAGCTAAAATAATCCTGAAATAAGATAATTCTTTTTCTCTAATTTTGTAAAAAAAAGATGTAGTTCAAAAATTTACGTAAGATTAAATAGGCTTTCTATTATTGTGAAAAAATGGGATTTAAATGAAAATACTTGGAAGGGATTTGTTTTTAAATTTAGAAATTCACCGAATTTCGTTTTATTTCGACATTTTTTTCGATTTTATAAATTAAAATTAATTTAAATTGAGAAACATGTTTTATTTAAATAGAAATTTAATTTAAATATTTTAATTCCCTTTAGAAAGTCAAGTTTATTTTTTTGGCAATAAATATAAAAAATAATTAAACAAAGGAATAAATTAGTAGTATTAAGATATTGAATTAAATTTTACTAATTCCAAATTTTAAGAAAATATTTTTTAATCAAGAGAAAAGCGTTTTTAGTATAGTATTTAAAATAAACCCCTTACGTTGCTTAAAAAGATTTTAAATGTTCATCTAGTTTCTCGCTTAAGACGGTTGCCCTTTTTCCCAATTTTGGGCCAAATATTTAAGTACAAGTATTAGGCAACAAACTGGCTGTAGAATTGTGAAATGCGATTTCTGAATGTTTTTTAGAGAAATGGTTTTAAATGTCCAGAATTTTAGGCAATTCTTTTAGAACACTTTTTTAATAATTGCCATAATGGATCTTTTTAGAGCGGACCTTCTTTGGCTAGATTCTCTTTTTACAATGCTACCCACCTCAAGGTCTGTTGCACCATCCCCTGTAGGCTCAGCCGGGGGATAGTCGACATCCAGAGAGCGAGTCAGTTGCGTGGGGGCTGAGCGGAAGACTGCGCGTTTCGCTGCTGCCGAGACCAGCGCTTTGTAGAGTTGGCTCTTGTTCGGAGGCAGGCCATGTACGGAAGGTGTGGCGGGTGGTTGGGGGGATGGGGGCTCCGCGGGCGTAGCTCCGTTTCCGTTCATGCGTATGTTCGTGCGAGCTGGCGGAAGCGGTGGTGGCGGCTTGGCTGGCAAGCTTGGCTTTGGGCCCGTTGGTGGAAGTGGAGCCTTCACTTGGGGCCTTTGAAGTGGCCCTCCCGGCTTTTTTGCTGCTTGGTTAATCTTGTCGAATCCTAGATAGGTGCACTTGTCCGGAAACGGTGCCATCGGATCGGGCATGTGCGGTGCAGGACTGTCTGTGGGCTCACGATCGCGCTCCAGAGAGCGGGTGCGTCGCGACAGTTTGTCTGTGGTTGCTGTGGGGGAGGCTGTGGTCGCGGGAGAAATTGTGGTATTTGTACCGTCGCAGTGCAGATAGAGATTCATTTCGGAGCGGTATGGTTTCTTGGTCTTCTCCCTGCCCTCTTGGTTCTGTGTTGGTAAAAGGTTGTCTCGCGATTTGCTCTTCTCCAGCTGAATGGCCAGAATGTCCTCAGAAATTGTTTCAATATCGTTGAGTATCGACTCCAAGTTCACCGAATCCGTCTGGTATGTTAGAAAAATACGAGTTATTTGATTGGAATATCTAGTCTAATTTTAGCTTCTATGAATCCATACTACATAGTACGTGTATATATTGTGGGGAGGGGGTCGATTAAAAGAGCAGCAGCTGTCGGGATTTTACTGAGATGAGACTAGCTATGCAAGCGTTCTAATGGTATAAAGTTTTTGAGTTTCTAGCTCTACCAGCCGGGATGAGTTCTAAGAATTGAAGGGACATTTGAAGGGATATATGTCTCCACGAGGGAGTACCCTGATAAATGTGGGTGAGTTTAGAGAATGGTCCAAGGGGGCACACATTATTTATATGACATAGCTATTCTCTAAATAGTTATAAGTACATATCCATGGCAGACTTCTGACGAGCTCTGCACAGCACATATATGTATCTAAGATTTGACACAAACATTGATAAAACACCAATTAGAATTTGATAGCTCACTGATTCGCTAGTGAAAATCATGATCAGCATTATCACTTTTAGTATTCAAATGAATGCAGTACTGAGGGAAACATCGAAGGAACTACTCGTACACCGATAATGAGTTCTGCCGATCTGAGCTCAGCAGATCTCTCACCTGACTGCCGTGATCCACGGTCCGATTGGCAGTTGCATCTGCGCTGCAATCGATAACCGCTGCAATGGCTATTGGCTTGGAACTGTTGGCACACGCCGTCGGCTTGACGAGCTGCCTCAGTGGCGACGAAGTCGTCTTTGTGGAGTTCGTTGTCACGGTCATGACGGGCTTGGTCAGGGCAGTAGCCGAGATACAAGTGCTGTGGCAATGCTTTTGTGCGGTCGCGTAGATCGGCTCAGTAGATTGGGACTGGGGCAGTAGCGTAGGCAGGGATGCAGACAGAGATGCCGCCGAAGCTACCGCGGCAGTGGCAAGGGCGGCGGTGTAGATGTCAACCACACTGCCAGCCCCCACAAGCGCGCCAGCGCCACTGACGCCGAGGCCGACAGTAGCGGCCACATTGACAACGGACCGATGGAAAGCACAGTGCTGACCTTGTGGCGACTGCTGCTGGCATTGGCGTTGGTGGAGCTGGCACGGCGAGGGGGCGGGCGGAGTGCACTGTGAGTGGGCGCGGGCGCGATGTCGTGGACTTACTTGGGGTGAGAGGCGCAGCGGCTGTCTTTGATAGGGCGAGGCCAGCGCATTGTTTACAAAGATGTCAGGCGGCTCGCGTATCTGCGGCGGCGTCTCCAATGGTGGCGGTGGCGAGCCGGGGGGCAGCGAGTCTCCATCGCCGCCCTGATTGGCGAGCTTCGTGTTGAGCTTGAGGCGCGGCTTAATGGGGGCGAAGAAGTGCTTGGGGCTGTTGAGCGCTTGCTGTGTTGCGTTTGTGGTGATAGCCACGGTCTCAATGGCAGGTTCCGCACCACCAACACCAGCAGCCGGTGGCGGTGCATTCAATGCTATTCTGGGCATTGTGTGGACTGGCGGTGTGGACACAAAGGTTGTCAGCGTGGGTGGCGCCAGATGTGGAGACTGCGGTGGCGGCGAACGTGTCGGGGAGGCATTGTACTTGCGATGCGAGAACGGCGACTCTAAATTGTAGTCCCAGCCATTGGTGTGGCGCATCGTCTTGCCGGTGCTGGTGCTCGAGCTGGTGCCCAGTTCGGGTGTAGGCGTGACAGCTGCAAGGCAAGCTATTGAGTTCTGATATCATACAAGTATATGGCTAGCCGTCTACTCACCCATATGGCCGGCTATGTGTTGCTGCAGGATGTTTTCAAAGTAGGAGAGCGGTGGCACCATCGCTTGCAGATCGTTCAGTTGATTGGCCACCAGTTCTATGGGCGTCAGCGGTGTCAGCGGTCCAACGAGGCTGGGCAGTGTGCTCTGAGAGCTATTGAGATCGGGTGTGTTGCTGATCAGCAAATGGTCGTTTTGCTGCGCCAGCAGCTCCGGATTGCTGAGCGTCTCCTCAGACACCACCGAGAGATGATCGTACTGCTGGGGCTGGCTGTCCTTCTTGGGCGCCTCGTTGCACTGAGCGCCGCCATTCGAGCTGCTGTTGTTGTCTGACAGCGGCGCCTTGATGGGTGTGCAAGAGCCTCCCTCCTGGCAGCATTCGTCGCTGCAGTGGCCGTCGTCGCCGCGACAAGTATCACATGAGTCAGAGTCCTGTGGAAAGTAGTAGGAATTGCAGACAAGTCAGACATCTCCCTAATCTTGTAATTAGTTCATTTGCAATCTTAATACTTACATCACTGTTAACATCACAACCTCCGCTACCTCGGCCACCACCGCTGCAGCGGTGCGCATTGCAACCGCCACTGCCACCGCTGCCCCGGCAACCACCGTACTCATGATCGCACAGTTTCGCTTTGAAGCGTTTGTTGAGACGATCGCACTCATCCCGCAGCGTCCAGATCTCCCGTCGTAATTGTTCATTCTCCCGTCTCAAGCGCTTGATGTCGGATTGACCTAAAAGAGAGGAATTTCAGAAATTCAAGTCTTTCGGTTGGAGTAGCTCTATAACTTTGGTAGGAAATTATTTTCTATTTGTTTAACTTTTTTTGATCACTCAACAATTTTTTTTTTTTTTTAACAGTTGATTTAAATTTGCAATCTGTCCTAACGGACAATCAGCAAATTATACTGGAGGAACATTGGCATTATGATTTTGTATTATGTGTGGCTTTGTGGAGACTCAACAATATATGAAAATATGTTTCGACCGGAGCTGGAAAAACAATCGATATTATTTTTTAGGAGACCACAAAGGACATGGTGTTTTTTAAGACACTTGCAAGAAAGTTCTTTTGTGCCCCAGCATCTGAATCTGAAGGAATGTTCAGCAATGCTGGAGAAATAATTTTAGATCGGAGATTTCGCTACAATAAACATCGAACATCCAGCTATAGTTTCGACAGCTTTTAAACATCTATCTTTCCACATTTTATTATTTTCCATTCAAAAATACTTCAGACTTCTGTAAAACAAATTACTAAAAATCCAATTATATAATTTTCTTTCGATTCCGAAACACTTATAAGCTGGCTCAGTAGTTTTTGTATATTTTGTACCGATTAAAAAATATATATATATATGTATTCGATCGATGCTTCGATAACGGGCTGCTATTTCTGAGGCTCATAATAAATAAATTATTTTACACAATTTGCAAGGTATTTGACAAACATAAGTAAATTAGGAATCATATCACTTCTTTATTTCAAAATTTTTTTCTTTAGAATCATGGCGACAAGCTTTGAAAATATTGTTTTCATTATGAACTTGAAATTTTTGATTTAAAATTCATAAATATTTTTAAATTGCTTAATAAATGTTCATAATGTTGGCAACTATTTCTTATTAGGTAAGAAATATTTGAGGTCCCTCTTCATAAGTGTGATTATACTTGCTGTCAAAACATGTTGTGAAAAAAAACAAACTGAAAACAGAAAAGAACAATTTCCCAACTGAGTGATTAATTATGTGAATTTTATGATATGGCTTTTTCAAAATTGCAATTAAGGAAAAATTCTCAAATTGTCATACCATCCAGTTCAAATATATCGAAGGACAAACATTATTAGTGCCTTCTTTATATCAAAAGACACAGAAACAATAAACTGTTGCCGTTTGAATAATTCTGAAAATTGAAAGCTTTTAATTACATACTTATGTGCACTTCCTATTCTTGAAATCCAATAGACACGAACATATTTCATTTCTTTTATTTACATTTGCTCTTCAAACACACTTTTCAGCTTCTTTGTTTTTTGATGTTTCCTGCCAGCAAAAATGTACAAAGGTGTTTCTCGTTCGCTCGTTCATACATAGCGGCAACACATTTTCTTCCCATTAATTTTCATTATTGTTTCTTTTCCTTTTTGTTTAGAAAACCCCAACCAAACACGTGTCTGTGGCCTCCGTGTGCCATTTCTCATTCTGCACTTTGTTACTTTGTGGAAAGGCTTTGGTAAACTTAAATTTGATTGTTTACTTTTCCTTATCTTCTGTTTTTGGCAGAGCGAGCGCTTTATATGCTTTATATATTTGAAAATATTTTCATTTTTCTAATTTTGTGCTTCGTTCGTTTTATGATTTTTCACCTTCTAATGTCTTTTTAATTGGATTTTCAGGTCTTTGTATTTTTCGCTTCTATTTTCAACCGCAAATACATATAATCACCAAATGTATATGCAAAGATATTGTTCTTAATGGGTTAGGTGAGATTATTGAATCGCTTTACCTCTTTCCACCTCCGCATTAATGTTTATGGTTCGCAACCTGAGTTCTTCATTTTCGTAGATCATGCCACGTGATGACTTCCTGTCCAATCTGTAATTTTGAGATACGATTACAATAATTGCCAATGTAACATGCATCCTAAATGCCCTGCCTTCGATTAGTCAGTGGTTGCCATGGCGAACGGCAGCCAATTAACATTTCCTGGCTTTATGCTTGCCTCCCAATACACTTTTACTTTGTTCTATAGTATGAAGCTCTTGAAAACTCGGTCGTGCTTCAACGAATGCTGTAAGTCAACTGAACTCGATAGGTCCAGTATTAGGATTTCTTTACCCAATTATATTAGCAGTTTAGCTTGGTCTGCGGCCTTTCAACACTCGCACAAATAAATAAATAATAATAAAAAAGCGACGTAGAAAAATAAATAAATATACACAAACATACTTATATACATACATACGAGTCTGTAGCAATGTTTCTTCTATTTCCTCCACTTTCCACTTGGAACGCGCTACATATTTCTATTTATCAGAGAGAAATATTCAACATATTCTGCATAGCCGCGTCAATGGGCTGGAGGTGTCTGCCTCTGCCTCTGCTTCTGCCTCTGGGCTGAGGTAACAACAAACAGAAGGCAAGCACAACTATAAATCTAAGAAGCTGTCTAAACATAAACTCGATATTTATTTTAAAGTCTTTCAAGAGCTCAAGAGGATCGCCTGCATTTGAACTTCAGTTCTTTATTGGAAAATGTGTTGCTGTTGTTATTTATAACTTGTTTTTTGTTTTTAATGCAGCCAATTAAGCCAAATCCCTAATGAGCCATAAACAGCCTTGCAAATTTTCCATAACTTACGTTTTTTATTTCGCTAAAAATCTTTTGGCCTTTCTGCTGCCGTCTTGTCTGAGAACTTTCCTAAAACTGCTGCCCCGTTTGTCCAACCCAACGATCCAACTCTGCACATACTTGTATATACATATGTTTTATGAGAAAAGTACATACATATCTACTCTCGCATACAGAATCTCACACACAATTCTATGTGTCCACGGACCAAAAAAATTCCCTATATATGTACGACTGTCTGTTGCCGAAATATTGGAATGCGCATATCTCGAAACACCGCCTAATATTAATATCTGACATAATCTTGCTGAATACTTCAAAATATTTGGCATCTGCTTAAATTTATGTTTTACTCGAAATAAACAAAAACTTGTCATTTATTATATTTCTGAACGAAATTGTGCACGCGAGAGCAGTTTGAGAATTATGGGCGAGCTTCAGTGGAGGTATTTTTCAAGTTTAAAAAGTATTTGTATAGTATTGAAAATATTCTACCTTAATCAAGCAAAAGGTTTTTAAAATATTAGTGGTTAGAACAAGCAAGAACTAAAGTAGCTAATTAAGCTCGGTCTAGTGGGGGAGAGACCTCTCTTATTAATTCATAAATGATAAACATAAGTGAAATGCCAATTTCCGAACGAATAACAAATTAATTGAAATGCTAAATAATATATATATAGTATATCAGAAAGTGCTAACATTCTTAGCACTTTTGTAATTCTCATTGCTTTTCAAAATTTAAGTGTAATGGACTGGTTTTCAACACCAAAACCAGGCAGAAGCATTGACTTAAGTACTGGATTTAAATAAACCGGAGAGGCATTGCTCCCACCTAAATCTTTAGAAAAAAGTTCCCAATCTGAAATCGACGACACATTCATTATAATGTCGCGGTTTTCGCCTTTAAATGGAACTGAATTGGATTTATTGAAGTTTTTCCGTTGAAAATATAAATAAATATATACTTGTATAATATAATTTTATATTATACATATACATAATATTATTTGAACGCATCACATCGTGCGTTAATTTTTAATTTAATTTATTAATTAATAAACATATTAATTTTTTGGCAAAGGTGTTAATGCCCTTCCGGATCATCATAAGTGTCGTTTCCATTTAAATTTTCCTAGACTTGATGGTCTAATTTGTCTATTTAAAAAGTAGTTATTATGAATGCATTAATTTTTACACAAACATGTTTCGAATTGAAAGCATTTGGTTTGCTGGCATTCCGTTTTAAGGTTTAATAAAATAATTATAAGTATTGAGTTGAGAAAAGCATTTATTGTACTCCAACAATCCATTCGTGAAAAGGCTTAATAGTCGCAATTTCTGTTTTGAAAAACACATTTCTGACTTTTTAGTTGTAACTATAAGTTTAATTTATGTTATAAATATAACAGTATAATTAAAAATAGAAAAAATGACTTTCATCTAATGTGCCAAATAGATTTAGAATATCTATTATAACAAATAAAAGTTTCCTTAAGTGGTTTGCTTGTAAAGACCCAGATAAATAATTTAAATTGTTCAACCAAATCAAAATCAATTCGATTAATTAGCTCGCCAGCATTTTATGACCTCCAAATAAATAATAATTATTTCTAGGTTTTTATTCCTATTGTTTAAGCAATTTATGAAAATAATTTCAACAAAACTGTGAACTACCTGAGAAATATAAGTTTTAAGCAGATAGTTAACTAAGCAGACTGGGACGAAGGACATTTATCTAATGGTTGACTTCCCATTTCAATTATTCTCATGCCATGTATCCAGGAAATATTACACCTGGAGGTGCAGTATTTATGAATCTTATGGCATGTTTAAATAGGCTTTTCATTTAACAAAATACAAATGTATGCCAACGACATTCTTCGTGCCAAACAAATTCCGTTCAACTGAACGGAAACTTGCTAGACTTTCGATTTCTGTTGCCGAAGTCGGTTCAGTTCCGGAACGAAGACGCTCCATCCCTGGCTGCGCGGCCGGTGTATGTTTGTGTAAACAAGTGTGGACGCAGACACGTTTCTGTACAGCATATATAGTACACATCGATAAACCCATGATCTCGATAGAAAAGAAAAGTTGTTGGCACTTTTATTCAACAAGAGAACAATCTGTATCCGAATAGCGTGCCGTAACATGAATGGTTCATATAACGGGAAACTCGTGTGTTAACTCGCTTCGGAACAAATGTAAACATGGTCATGTGTAGTGCTGAGTATTGTTTCGATTCTTAATTTGTATGTAGATACACGAACTTGGCGATAAACAACAATATTTATTTTTAGGCATGCCCACAGGCGAAAATTGTATATTTAACGATCGCTAAAGTGCATGGACATTAGAAAATTTTAATGAGTTTCGGTATTTATTGATTCGCAGCAGCAGAAACAGATGTCTGATTCCAAAAATACATGAAAGGCATGTACATATTCATAAAACCCAATCAACTGCTTACTTTGCGGACTTCTCCGAGCGTTTGTTGCTCTTGCGGCCTCGTTCATTTTGCGTTCGTGTAGTTTTTGAACTTTTCATTTAATTTGCAGGCTTTTCCCCAATTAATTGGCACTTCGTGACACTTTTCTGCTGACGTAAATGGCGCACAAATGGCATTCGATTTTCACGCAATTAAACTTTCTCACTGCATTTCACTCGGCAATTTCTCCAAAAGCCGCACCGAACTTTTGACACTCAATCAGGCCCAGACACTGGCACTGGCACAGCCTGTTGAATTTTTCACCAAATGTGCAGTTCTGCGGAGGGAAACACCCACAAGCGGAAAATGTGACACAATGAGAAATTAGCTAACAAATGATTTTTCACCGCAGCGAAACAGAATTTTTCGTGTTGCGATACCGCACGAGTCGACTATGAACAGAAAACTGACAGTTGTGCGAGATCAGTTTTGGCCAAAAACAAACGACCACAACAACAGCAACACCAACAATAAAAGCATCGAACGCCAACGGCTGGCATTGAGACTCGCCAAGAGCAACAAGCTTTGCCTTTATTAAAATATCAGAAGAAAATCCAAAAAACAAAAAAAAAAGAAAGAAAATGCGAGCAAATCTCAAAAGCACTACAAATAACAACAAATCATCGTTCTCAATGAAATGTACGCATGCATCGACTAAATTCGTTATGATTTTCCAAAAAAAAAGAAGAAACAGATTTCCCGTCAGCGGTGCGAACTTTTTTTTTCCATTAAAACATGCGAACGAGCAGCGTTCCCCAAATATAAAAAGCTTTTACAGTTTCTATTTATACTCAGGTAAAAATAATGATCAATTTATTTTATTATCAAGCTAAAATAAAACAATTGCTATTTGTGTTTCAAAAATTGATCAATAAATATTTCGTATAAAATATAGAAGATTTCCATTTGTGTCAAAATATATTGCATTGAATGATTCATTGAATTCACAATTAATTCAAAATTTGGAAAAAATAAACAAGAAATACATTTCGGTTAATTAGAGTAAGCTAAAAGTTTAAAGAAATCAGTGAGTCCCAGTCGCAAACAACTGCCAAGATAATACATACTTTTAATGTTCATTGAATTACAAGTATTATATGAATATATTGTAAGTGATTTAAATAAAAAAATTAATGAAATTGAATATTCAAAATTTCTATAAATGAAGATTGTTCTAGTACGTATAATTTTTCAAAATGTTGACTATAGAAAGCTAATTGGTTTTGCGACCTACAAGAATTATTAAATGGAAATAAATCTAGTCTAGATAACTACTCTTGTTCTGGTTTTATTTTGGAAACATAATGATCTTTCGCACTTACACTCAACTGAACTCGCTTTATTATGATTATTTCCGGGGAAATCTTTAAGCACTTACGGGGGATTCCTTATATTTTCTAGTGTATTTTTAAAAATTTCTAATCTTTCAAGCTAAAGTTTTAACCTATTCTAATCTATGTCTATATTTTGTTTATGAATAAAAAAACACATATAATAGTATTTAATGGTGTCTTCAATTAACATGAATTTGAAGGCTATGAATCCTTCACATACATATGCAGTGTGTGTTTAAAATAACACTGAACATTAATTAATTCAGAGGTGGTTTCATATTAAGAAAAAATGTGTTGCTCAAATAATGAAATGTATACATCTAATGAACTGAAACATTTATTTACAATGCATTGTTTTTAAGCCCGTTATTGACTTTATTTACAATGCCTTTTTTTTGACGAACGAAATAAATGTAAGCCAGCTGATGCACTTTTTTCTTGGTTTTAATGACATAAAAAATGAATTAAAATTAATCAAACCCTTAATCGCATTCCATGTGCCGTTAGCTTGTAACTGAAATGTTTTTTTATGTTTTTATTTAATTTTTTCTTGTTGTTTTTTTTTTTTGAAATGTTTTACAATCTGCGTATGTAATTGAAAATTGAAATTGCTGACAACAAAACTGAATTTATTCCAACAATAAGCGGCGGATAATACAAATTAACAATGCCACACATTCAATTAAGTGTACAACGGCAGTTTTGAGGTGGAATTGAAAACATTTTCTATGGACAGTGATGATATTTTGTTGCCATTGCCGCTGCCACCACCTAATAATGATTGGGAAGCACTGTAGAAACATTGAAAAATATATAAAATGTGTCAGGGCAGTGGCACTGGCAGTGGCCGTCGACGTCTGTATCTGTAGGTGGGAGAGCTTTTTTAATGCCCATATCTTATAGTAGAGATACACAGCCAGACACACGCTTATGGCCGCACAATAAATCTTGAAAATATATATTTTTACACAATAAAATGTCAGCCATTTGAAAATAATAATACCAGCATTAGCATTGTGCTGAGTTCAGGGGGTGTCGATCTATTTTCATAAATAATATTTTCGTTCATATTGTGGAAGCTTGAAAATAAATTTGAATTATTTAGCAGCTAATTAAAAATTAGCAGAGGTTAAGCGGCCAATTAATTTATGGGCATACATATGTATACAAACAATGTCAGTCGAGTTTATGTTCCTTTCTAAAATTTGTGCCAATTTGTTTAAGTACTAGCATATTAGCAAATTGGCGCCTTCCATTGTTTATTTCGACATAAATTCACCGCAGACAGTCTAATCTTTGGAGATATTCTCAAAATTGTTGTCTACGCATTGTTAGTGACATAAGGACAGGTCTTTATTTTTTCTATTTAAAATAATTGTCATACTTCAATCAATTTTGGTGACGTGTGCTTGTCATTTCTTCGAAAAGAGATTTTAAGGAAAAACATTAAAATTCATCAAAATGTGCGAGGCGGCTTAATACAAAATAAATATTCCACAGCTGTGCCTTAAAGAAATAAAAATATACTAAGCATTTATATTCAGATTTATGATGCTCATCCAAAATATAATTGCACTCAAATAATTGAACTGCAGAAACAATTAACTAAATTGTTTTAAAATTGATGCCATATTTTGAATAAAAGCAGCCGTACAGACAGAGCTTTGACTCCCTTTTTTCTAACTCTAACTGGTTTAAATAATATATATGCTTAAAAATCTAAAACATTATTCGAATGAATAAATCACATTTAAATAATGCTTTTTCATTGATTTTCAAACATCAGGTGATGGCTGGGTGCTATTTTTTCCAGCCAACTATTCCAACTATCAGTGCTTTAAAAAGTTTTCGAAATTTCCACAAGTACAAGATTTGCTATAAATATAGAAAAGCCCACTAAAATATTTAGAATAGCGCATGATCCTCGGCAGAAAAGCTGCCTTTGCTATAAAATCCGAATTCTTTATTGCGCATGGTCCGCAAAATAAAAGCTCTTACTTGCTAAAAATATAAGATCTCATTGATCAATGATTCTCTTAAGAAATAGCTTTTATGGGAAACAATGCTCTTTCAAAATTGTATCTTATAAAAATATTCTATATAGGAAAACTTTGTGATCGTACATCTTAAATTTAAAGAGACAGAAGATATTAAAAAACTAAGCTGTCTTATAAATGGATCCTATCTATTAATTTCAAACTGTTCTTTAAATTTTCAAGCCCATGAGTTAAGCAAAACTATATTCTTGTTGATCGATTAAGTTACCTGTTTATAGATAATGATTTTCTCAACACAAAGCTGTTACAAAAGAAAATACTGTCTCATAAATAGCATTTAAAATATTCTAAGCAGTTCTTTCTCTTCAGATAAGAGTTATAGAATAGCAGAGCTGTCTTATAAATGAATTCTACCCTCAAATTTTGAACTTTCTTAAACTTTTCAAGCTTTTGTTGTTGTGGACCCTTTGGGTCGCAATGCTCTCTAAAAAATGGCTCTTATACTAATATTATCTGATGTTCTTCTTATTGTTGGCTCTTTTGAATTTTCAAACTTATCTCTATGAGTCTTAAGTAATATTATATTGTGGTTGATCGATTGAGTTACCTGCTATTTAGCTTATAGTGCGCATGACGTCTTCGTTCTCGGAGCATAGTCGTGCGTTAGTTATCCGCATATGAAAGTAAAACCAACAAACAAAAACAAAAGACACATATAAAGTACAAACGAAAGAGAAACCAAAAGAGAAAACCATACACAACGATAATAATAAGAATAATAACAACAACAGAAACAAAAACCATAACAGAAATGTTCAATTATTCGGTTGTTGTAAATGTGTAAGATTTGAGTTTGTTTGCTGTTTTTCAGCATTTTTGTTTACATTTTTTTCCATCATCGTATTGCTGTGAATTACTCGAGGGCGTGTTTATTTAGACAAAACGAATTGTGTGTAAGCGTCCATGTTGCCTTTGGGTATTTGGATGCAAATAACAAATTATAAAGAAGGCCCGTACGACTTAATTGCGGGCTAATTTCGGATCTGTGTAAAAGATAATGCTGTGATACACATTGCCACATTTAATTTTTTCCACTTGTCGCTTTAAGGCCACAAAACTTTGCAGACGCTTGGGCTCGCAGCTAAAAAAGTTGACGTGTGGAATATTAATGCACGATTTTATATCTAGATGTTCAATGACATTCCATGCTTTATGTGCGGCACTGTCTCTGTCTGGCTACAGCACAATGGCTGCTCGTGCGCCTCGATGTATGCTACACACGCGTCGAGCGGCACAACGAGGACCCACAGACGCAGTCACATACACATTCACATACACATACGCATCCACACAAAGGGAATTTTTAGCATACAAGCCACAACAATGGGGCAGACAACAGCCCACATGAGTGGGGTTGTGAAATGGTTGTTGAACGGCGAGGGGAGGAGGGGATTGATGTATGCTTCTTTCTTTTTGTCAAAGGGTGAAACATTATCTGCCGAGCCAATTGATTTATCGATTAAGTTGTCAAGTACACATTGTTATCCTTCATTAATGTGTTACATGTGTTACAATCTTGCCTCGCCTTCTGAACGAGTTTGGAATACAACCCCGTCCATGCCTTGCCCCTCCACGCTTGCGTAGCACGTGACAACGGTCTCTCTTACCACTTTTTTCCACGTCTGTAGCATTGAAAATTCATACATACATATATGTACATGTGTTTGTAGACATGTCGTTGAAGTTTTCCCCTCTTGTTGCTCATTATGTAACTGTCACAAGGAATATTATTATTTCTTGTTCGGGGCTGAATTTGTTGCATGCAAGTATATAGTATAACAATATTTGTCAAATCAAAACCCCATTCGCTTTAGCACGAACGACATTTTATTCAAATATGCTCGCGCACATAGCCATTTGTATTTATGTATATAGTAGTTCAAACTTCTATTTATTTGCTTTGGACAGACAACAAATAATTTGATTTAAAAATATGCCACCAATTATTTATTTTCAGATCTCCACTACAACATTTACACGCTTCAATGGCTTTCTGTATTTTGTGAATTATTTTAAAACATAATCTTGATTAAGTCAAGGCTCCGACTATATTTCTATTAACCGAAATGAATGCTTTATTAAATGTGATAGATGTTGCTTAACATTTGTCTTGAAGCTTGAATTCAACTTCGATTTTAATTAAGCTTAAAGCGAGTCATTCCAATTCTTAGTTTCTTTTAAATGTCCAGCAACTACTTTAGCAAACAGCTTCATAATGCCTTTAAATTTAATCCAATTTTATGAGAAATATTAAAACCATCAAACTAAAAAAAACATTTGTTTTAATTATGCTGAACACTCTAATCATTTTTTTGTTTCCGCCTAATTTTTAATCAGCTTTCCATTCATATCAAAATCGAGAGTCAGAATTATCAGCCCATTTGCTCAATATAAATATTTTTCCAGCCATTTATCTACAGAATACATCGATTGTCATCGCTTAAATCAATTTTATTACTCCGCCTTTTAAGAAACAGAATGAATTATTGATCGATTAACGGGGATTCTTTCATTGATCACAACTTAAAGAATTTGTTCTTAAATATCTTACTTTAGTTGACTAATCAGATCTTTCTGCAAAGCAGCTCATTCAGGACCTCTTCTTCCCAATGAAGCCTTCTAAGCCTAAATCTCCAGCGCTCTGATTCCTCTTCAAGTAAAGATGAGCAAAAAATAAAAATAATCTTTCTATTCAGTAAGAAATTTCTCCGAGACGTAACCTAAATATTATGCACAAATTTCAATTAAAATTCCTTTTGCAAAAGACTTTCGCTGACAGAAACTTCTCGATTCTAAAAATATTTATCGTATTAATAAACTTACTCAGAATCGTAATAGGAACTCATAAATATTTACGAATGCACACTTTCAAGTTAATTGTTTATTAAAATTGATGGAACTGCCGGAGCTGTTAAGTAAACCGACCGATTATCACGGCGTACACACAAAAATAATTGCTCTTTTTTATTAATTTATGGCTGGGAGCACTTATTATAAGTATTGTTTAAAAAACACATGTGGCTCGCCAGCCGCTCGCCCCACATACGCGTTGTATAATTTAAATAATGGATCGTAAATGGATTTAAAAATAAAAACCATACTTTCACACTTAAACAGGTCTGCCTAAAGGGAGAAACAAAGACAAAGGCGGCGGGGCGCTTCACCCAACGACCTACGGATCCACGAACGCAGTGACAAAGATCGCGCACGCACAGCTGCATACGAGATATATCCAAGTCGACAGATCTAGGTAAAAAGCTATATAGACACCGGTGCGAACGGTGACAGGTCGTTGCTCGGGCAATCGGAGCCCACACGATATGAATGTGTTGTGGCCGAACGGGCACGCGACTGGGAACTGCAGCAGAAGCCGCAACACGGAGAACTCAAACTCGACAAATTCGCTGCGTATGCGCCTCAGTTTTCCTTCTTTTCCATTGCTATACTCTGCACAAAACGCGTCCCATGCGTTTGTAATGCACCCAAGCAGGCAGTCGTCTATGACAGGCAGAATTTGTTGAGCGGCTTTTCAGTTACAGAAATATGCCGTGAAGGGGCTAAAATGGTAACTAAATGGTAGATATTTTTCCCACCAGTAAGTCGTCTTCAATTGCTACTTAGGTATTGGAAAGAATTATCATTTGAAAGCTAAAGAGTTTTGAAACTTTCAAAAAAAAAAATGATGAGGCCTGCAGATTTTATTCTCCGGAATATATACTCCACCATTTCTACTTAGGTATTGGAAAGAACTCTCTATTGAAAGCTAAACAGTTTTGAAACTTTCAAAAAAAATGATGAGGTCTACAGATTTTATTCTCCGGAATATATACTCCACCATTTCTACTTAGGTATTGGAAAGATCTGTCTTTTGAAAGCTAAACAGTTTTGAAACTTTCAAAACAAAAAAATGATGAGGTCTACAGATTTTATTCTCTGGAATATATACTCCACCATTTCTACTTAGGTATTGGAAAGAATTCTCATTTGAAAGCTTAACAGTTTTGAAACTTTCAAAAAAAAAAAAATGATGAGATCTACAGATTTTATTCTCTAGAATATATACTTCACCATTTCTTCTTTTCATTTAAAAAACACCCTACATACATATTATATTTTGTTGCAACAGCATTTATGAGAGGTCCCTTTATTGAAGAACTATCGATTTCAAAAGGGGTTTCATGTAGTATGTGGAAATTGGATGGAAGCATTAGCTGCCATAGCCATCATCTGTTGGTTAAATAGATGACAATCAATGATGGATAGAAGTATTATTTAATTCGTATTTAATGTTCCTCACATATACAATTACAAATAAATGTCCACCAATGAATTGAAGTTAATTTAGACATAATTTGCTCTGAAATATATACTTCACGATTTCTTCTTTTCATTTAAAAAACACCCCACATATATTTGGTTGCAACACCATTTATAAGAGGTCCCTTCATTGGAAAACTTTAAAAAACTTCTTCCTATATACAATTAGAAATAAATGTCCACCAATGAATCGAAGTTAATTTAGATATCATTTGCTATGGTTTTCTGCTTTTTGCTTTCCCCATCAATATGAAAAATTCAATCGGACCAAAGATTGTGATATTAATTAAATAAAAGCGATGGCTTAGATTGTCCATAACTCTCAACTAAACTGGTTGTGAAAGAGTATTACAACTTTTACAATTCTGAAATAGTTATATTCGCTAATTAGCTCCAGGCAGTACAATATCAGTAGGACCTAAATCATTCTATGGGCTTCATCGAGTAACTTCAAGTTTTTTTGAAAACACACTCATTTCGGAAGAGTATTGCAGCTTCGGCGATACGTTGAGTTGGCACTTTTTTGCTGCTTTTTCGTATTCCTTACCCAAAGTTTTCGTGTTAAATATTTGCGTACAAGTTTTATTTGTTGAATTGGTGTTGTTGCCGCTGGCGTTGTTATTCTGTCAGGCGTGTGTATGCACGCACACACACACACACATACACGCACATGCAGCCGGCTGTCTGATGGACAGACAGAATGCATATGGCGCGCCAATAAAGTGCCGGAATGTGCGTGCGTATGCGGATTCGTGCCTGCGCGCGCGTCTGCGTCTGTGTGTGTGTGTGTGTGTGTGTGTGTGTATGTGTAAAGGCCCCCATTATCCCCCAGCGATTCACATGCGATAGTTGACTCCAGATTGAGAGGAGAGTGTAAAGAAAAAAGAACATGCGAGCTAAGAGAAAAGCCAAACAACAAATGAACAGCAACAGTGGCGACGGAAAAAAAGCAAACACCTCGCCCACCCCACCACAACTTCTTGTTGTTGTTGTTATTGCTGTTGTTGTTATGTTGTTATGTCTATTTTTTGTTGCCTTTCTTCTTGGCCTGTTGCAGTTTGGCTTTATGGCTCTATTGTGGGGCACTGTGTCTCGCCCGTACGTTGAACATTCCCCCCTCCCCTCCCCTCCCCGCACAAGATTCTAGTCTCGCCTCGTCCCGTCTCTTCTCTGCTGTCCTCACTCATTGTTGCGCCTAGTTCTTATGCCAATGGAGCGCAATTTATGCGTTTTCTCGAAAAAATGAACGTTCTTCTGAAACGAATCATTTCGTTTTCATAAAATGCTTGAAGGCGTTGCTCTGATTTTGATTCGATTGGATGCAGCAACACAATGTTCTTTTTGATGGAAATATCACTTTGGAAATTGTTGCTGCCGCAAGGTGTGGACTCCGCGGGGGCAAGCTGTTAGTCTCTGTTATGCTTGTTCATTTATGTGAATTGGATGCCTCTGCATTCGGGTGGGATTTGTAAAATAAATAAATAGAACGCTTTTATGGCAGGTGTCGTCAGATCGCATTCTTCGTGGCCATGCCAGCTAATTGAAAAGTGATTTGTTTGAACAAGAACTCAGCAGAAGGCGTTCTAGTTTGTAAATATTGCTGCTATTAATATTAATATTATTGTCTCAAATATTTTGATGAGTGTACATTTATTAACTAGCACGTTTTATTGAAACGAGTATTTAAAGTATAAAACCATTATACTTAAAATGATGGCATAATGAACATATTCGTTTTATATGTTGAAATTTAACAAATGTTTCTTTAAATAAAATAATTAGAGAAACAATAGTCCTTTAAAATTTTTTTACGATATCGTTTTCTTTACAGCTTTAAGTTCAATATTATTCGTATTGAGAGAATTAAACTACATATAAAGCTGGTCTGAACTTTTGGTTTCAGGGAATTTTTAAAGTTCTCAACAACTTCGTTCAACAATTTCCGCAAAGTAAATCTTACATTTTTGAGCCCCGCAAAAATAGTGGCTATTAAAATCTCATGCTGATTACAAATACAAAAACCATTTTTTGGAGCTGAGCAGGAATGGCATTTGATTTTAATTTAGTTTGAAATATTTTAAATTAAATTCAAGCCTATTGTTAGTAGAGAAAATCGAATTTTTCCAAAGACTTAGCTCCTTACTCTTGCTGAGGAATTTTAAGTAAATACCCTTTACTTATATTATATAAAAGAAATCGTTAGAAACTGATTAAATATTCCCGTGTCTCCAAAAGTAAGTGTGTCTCTCACAAACTGGAATTATATTACAGGTCCTGTAAGACTCTCTCTGTTTTCTGTGTTGACACATTTAAAATTTCTAACGTTATGACCTACATTTGATATGTTGTTGTGCTTTTAATGCAGTCCGGATGCGACAAATAGTTGAGTGAAGCTCTTCATTTTGGAGCAGAAACATCGGACACCTGTTGACGTTTTAATGGTGGAAGTTTCGTGGAACATTCCACAAATTGTCGAAAGGGCGTCGTTTCGGGGAAATTCTATTTTGGAGTACGAGCAGCAAAGTGATTCACTTTCAGACTTGGCCCAGGCATTCGGAGGTGAGTTTATTGCAAAATCTGCAGCGCCAACATTGTAAATAATAAATAGAAAACGGAACGCCATATGCCGGCAATTCGGCCAAAATGATATTTACAGACAACACTCGTTCTGTGGGTGTTTGTGTGCATGGCAGGCGCTATTTTGTAAATAATTTCCAAAAACAAAACGGTGCGTCAGACATTTGTTTGGTCATGAAGCTGTACGAGTAACTGAATGGAAAATCAATGGGTCCGACATCAAAATAAAACGCTCCATGGATATTGAGCTCAATTGTTGCGCTTCATTGGGCGCGCCGATCAAGGTAGAGGAAGCGAATCACATAATAATCGCGAAATTATCGCCATGAATAATTTTGGCAATCAAAATATCATCGCATTTGTATCTTGTGGAGGTACTGAAGGCGCCGAGTTCAATGAGCCTCCGATCGCCATTCGTTTTTTATGGCTTAAATGAATTTTGTTCGACTGCTGCGGTTTCATATGCCGCTAATTGGCCAGAGATGAATATGTTTTTAATAATTGTGTATAAACAAAGGCGGGGGAGTATACTACAAGTATAAGCAGGAATCGAAATTGCAGCCAGCGGCGAGCAAATTGTGTGGTCCAATTAAAAAAATGAATAAGTATAATGAATGTTCTTTTGATGCGCAAGACAGATTTATGCGACCAATTTTGAGGCGCAGCGCTCGGGCATAATAAATGTATCAAAATATTGCCGGGCCGGATCAAGAAAAATCCATTTTAAAAACATTTTCAAGTACATTTTACGGCGTAATTGAAATAAATCTCAAATTGCTTTTAAAATCCATTTCGTACCGCATGAGAAGGTTGTTGATGTCTATTTTGTGACTGTGAGAAGCTGTTTTCAAAAAGCATTTCAGATATTGGCAGGTAAACAATCAGCTGCCACTATTGACGTGTAGCCACAATTTTTGTTTCGAAACAAGTGCTTAGCTTTTCAAAAATTAACGATTACTCAAATTTAAGACGAACTTTGCTGCCGAAAGTGTAGATTGGAAATGCTTTTGCATCACAATGAATGCAACAATTCTGTTTTCTGTTCAGTTAGTGCTTTAAAATAAGCAGAAGAAAATTGATTATTAATTATTTATTAATTAACAAAACTGATAGAGTAGTTTTGAACTACATTTCTCAGTTATATTATATTTGTATGCGTGTTAAATTGTTTAATTTGCGTACAACTTTTTCGCTTGCTCTCTGTTAATAACTTTATACTTTAAGGAGTCTAGTTCTTTTTTAACAATTAAATAGATAACATTATTTTGCTGTTGTTTTTTAAATTTATACAAGTATATCGATAAAGTTTTTAAATAAATTTAATTTACTATTATTCAAGCAATGTTTGAATCTGAATTTCAACGTGTTCAAGTAACTTTTTTATAAAAAAATATTGTCATAAATATTAAGATTAATTTATTGAAATCACTGTTAAAACTCATACGTATTCTTTCTAATTTGAAAAGCAACTTCTATATTAAATATTAAAAATTATACTTATTTTGGCTGTTGCTACCAATTTATTACCTTTCCTAGATGCTAAAATAACTGAACATTCAATTGATAAATTGTTCGTTAGCAGCACTTATATCAAGAATTGCTCTGGAAGGAGATGTTTTTCAATTTTAAAATCAAATGGCATTCATTGCCCTAAATTCCCTTTATTTGTTAGGCATATGTGTACAAAAATGTAAATCTGAGCAGAGTTCGCTTTGCAAATTGCAAAGAAATGCAAGATAATAAAAATACCCCAATAAGTTGGAGTTGCTAAAAATAAATCGTTGCAATTTTAATTGGTTTTTCTTCTTCTTGAAGAGCTTACATTGAACAAGTAAGCAAATGTTAGTTTCTCGCAGCATTTCTGTATTATTGATTGATTGAGTTGAGGTGTTGGTTTTATTTGCCTTTCTTTTTCTTGAATCAATCACAGCTTATGGAGAGTAATTGAAGTTGGAAATAAAGCTGGGCTGGCAAATGGGTTGGTAAATGTTTGTGTGCAGGATTTCTTGCAGTGCATTTTACTATCATCCTGAGATCGAGTTTTGTAGCTAAATAAACACGCTCGAGTAACTCACGCAACACATTTGAGTCTGTATGTGCTATAAAATGGAAATGTAACTCTCTCTATAGATGTGCATGTCAACTAAGCACACACTAGAGGACGAGTTCTTGTGTATGTGTGTTTGTGTTTTATGTACTTTAGTGCTACTTACTTGGTCTCGTTGGCGATGAGCTTTGCGTTGATTTCCGCTGATTGCCGTCGCCGTTCTCGCCGTTGCTGCCGCTGGCGCGTCCGCTAATTAAATTGTCATCCAAAGAAATGCCGTCGATCCAATGCATGACATTGTTTCACATACAACCACACTTGTACACGCATACGCACACACAAACACACACACACACACACGATGTCTGCACGGAGGACAAAAGGTATGGAAATGAATCAGAAAAACATTTCAGCTATTGATAATTTTCTGAGTTGCGTTCGCTTTTAACTTAAGCCGTTGACACTTTCATTATTTCACTTGGAATTTTTTGCTGCTTATACACGTCTTCCCCGTCTTTTCCGTCCATCTATCCATCCATCCAGCGCCAGCACCCTGACATTTGCCTCGCTGCTCGTTGATGGACGTTGTCGTCACCGTGTCGTCCAAAGACAATGATAATAATTCAATTCCAAGCAACAAGTAGCGGGTGGAGATGTGGAAATGGATGTAACTTGAGTTGTTTTCTTTGCTTTTATCGCTTTTCTTGCCTTGCTCTCTTGTTTGTTTCACTTTTCGTTCGCCATCAACACTCATACGCCCTGTGTGACATAATTAGCACATTGCACTTTCACACTCGCGGATTTGGCCTGCCATGCAACGCACAGGGCAACGCAATTTTATCATTTGCACACATCATTTGAGTAAAGCGAGTGCATCAAGTGCATGCAAATTGCAATTTTGAATGCACTGCAGAAAACATTATAATTAATCAGCACAGAACAGAACCGAACAGCGCAGCGCAGAGATCAACAGAGACGCACAAACAAAGACAGAGGCCTGGGGGCCGGCACGTCAACTCGCTTCGATAATTCCAATCGATTTGTTGTATCTTCTACTGGCGGCGCTTCGCGCGAACACGTCGAACTTGTTGTTGGCTAGCTGGCTAGCCGGCTGCTACTGACTGACGAGCACGGACCGGACCGGACCGCACCGGACTCGGACGCTGACCGGGTGTCTGGATTGGCTTCTACTCGTATGGCCGTGCGCGTATTTCCTATCGTTTCGCACATTATTGTTTCCATTGTGTTCGATATTTGTGTTTTCTTGTACTTTTCTTATTTGCACACACAAACATATAAACATACAGACATACAGACATACATACAAATGTACAGACATATAAGTTTGCCTCAATTTATTGTACCTTTTCATGTTTATTTTAAATACGTTCGCGCGTTCTTTGACGCTACACCCACACCAGCAATCAACCGACTGACTGACTAACCCACCCCCTAATTGTACTTTCTGTCCGACTTCCCATTCTTTCAGTCAGGTTGGCCCATTCATTCATTCATAGTACTCGTTTGCTATGTTTCTACGCCCATTTGCATCTATTTTGTATATTTTCCTATGCATCGCAGCCATGAGATGTTGTCCATCGTTTGAATTGTTTGCCCTTCTGGCGGGCCTCTACAGAAGTCTGGAACCATTTGTCTGACTGCTGGAGCTCTGATATAAATGTATTAATGCGTGTTAAATGATCGGTTCCCACCTTGAACCATAACTCATTTCTTTTCAATTAGAAAACGATAGCGGCCCAAGCATCCTTTGAAAAAATCTGATTGTAATTGCCTGAAAGTTCAAAGGGAAGCGTGCAAACAAATGCAGCTCTTTCTTCGCACTATTTCTTGAATTAATGGTTTTGGCAAACGATATAAAAGAAGATTTGGAAAAGAAACTCTTCAACTAAGCTGTGACAATTCTACAATAGTGTTAATCTATTCAAAAAATAAGAGTTTCGGAATCTAACTCAGTTTTCCATCATTTCTAACCTTGTAACTACTCTTTTTTTTTTTACAATAATAAGTAATTTAGATGAAATAATAGAAACCATACCTTTAAAATACTCTTTTTGCTGAAGCTTTTGTGCCCTACACTGAGCCTGCTGATCAGCTCACTGAAGTATATAGTTGGCCAGTAATTAAATAGTTTTTAAATGTATTAACTACTAGTTGCAACTTTATTTTATATTTCGTTACCGAAACAAATCAAAAATTGCTTTGCTTTAGTTATGAAAATTAATAGAAAAGTTTACATAATCTTGAATATTGAAAAAAAAAGAAAACCTACACGTTCTTTACTTAAGAATAACTGCTATTTCTTTTATTAAGCAAAGGAATAGACTCTGAATTTATTTTAACTAAAGGAGCGTAATCGTTGAAGAATATATATCTTCACATAAATCAGTCTGAAACAGTTGTCTTTGTGTAAATAAATATAATTTGATTTTTGTCTTTCTGCACTGCACAGAGCTCATTATTATTGAGAACAAGCAGCTAAGTATATGCAAAATGTAAATAAATCGAAGAATATAAATGAAAATATATTTTAAATGCGTTCTAACTTTAAATCTTTCAGCCAACATTGGCAATACGGTGAAAGGCCTGCGATCGATCGACGATCTACAAGCCATATCTTCACACACAATAACTTGCTGCCTTCGACGCGATAAACATCAATGAATAAATAACAGGCCTGAATAAATAATACACATTATACGATGGAATTGTTCAATTGAAGCGGAAAAATACAGATCTGGGACATGCATAAGAAACTATTTTATTTTGTAGACAACTCGAAATGATACACTTTGTTGCATGAATTATGTGTGTTTGCTTTTCTCGCTTGACATTTACGCAGTCTGATGTATGAATAGTGGGATAGATGGCAAGCAAAATGGTTTATACAGATACACTGAACCAAAATTATTTGCTCTTAGCTGTACAAAAATAAAGGTATATAATAAAGGAAAAAAAATATTGGATATGAAATGAAATGAAAACGAATAGGTTTTGTTTCGGTCGCATTCAAAGCTATTATTACTTTCAAGAGGTGTTTGCTTGCTACTTATGCTACTTTTTACTAAAAAGTAACAAATCGGTATATATTCCTTAGGCTGTTAAGCCTAAAAGTATGCTGTTTCTCTTTCCATAAGTAATGGCTGAAGGAACGATCTGTATTACGTCCTTTAAAAGCAATATTAAGGTTATTTATTTCCTTGTCCTTTTTATTAAAACACGGCTGTCTTATCTAAGCGATTCAGATTTTTTGCACAGCAACAAAGTAAAAGTTGTATGCAAATAGCAGCTAGACAAGTAAATTTATAGTCAGAGGCTTTCTTTCTATGGAAATCCGGCGTTAAAAAGAAAAGTAAACAAAGCTGCGGAAGAAGGTAATTTTTCAATTTGAAACATTGATTGTCTCAATGGGGTGTAGTTCATCTTTTAAAGTTCCAAAATAATTACTTTTCAACAAACCAGGTTCTCATTTAGTTTATTAGAGAAAATGTTCGAGAATCAAGAGGAACTTCATGGAATTATCTAAGAGCAACGCGTAGATGAAATAAAAGTATAACCTTGCATCTTAAATGTACTAACTTGAGGTGTGATGAAAATTATTTATTTTTCATCTCAAAAAACTCTCATCTCAACAAACTTAGCAGCTATTTAGAGACATGTAGCTGATTCGAATGTCCACAGTATATTTAGTATGTGGAAATAGTCACATCCTCATCTATCCCAAGCCACCGTTCACTTAATGGCCGCGTGTCACAAATCAGACGACAGTCGCCACTCGAGCTGATTGAATTGCTGCCTTCGAGAAGCAATTCGCATTCGAGTCTGGTAATTCAATCCCGAATGTAAATGAAAGCTATTGAAGGCAACTATTTATGTACACATAGTGTAGTGTAGTACACATGTGGTTTGTTTTAAAATTTGGAAAATGTTTTACAAAAAAAACAAATCAATTTATGTCAGTGCACAAGGCCCGCACACGAGTTCCATACTATATACATATTTATATCTGCCTAGTATATTTGTATGTAGATATGTGTGTGTTGAGTGCACGCGGCTGCATTGGGAACGCGATCGGCTTCGGCTGCCTGACGGGCATTAAAATGCACAATATTGCCAAAAATTATTTGAAACATTAAAACCGTAATTTGATTTCGCGCACGAAAATCGAACGTCGAGACGTCACTGCTGGCTTTTGATTTTTCACTTTAGTCGCCGCTGCCCCTGTGGTTGCATTCCGCTCGCCAGTGGCTGTGTGCCACTTGCCAATCGCCAATTGGCCATTGCGAGTGGGCAATCGCTGGATTGGCATTGGATGGCAGCTATATTACAATTTCAATGATAAACGTCGTCGATGTTTATTTGTTTTGGCGCCGCTGCTTATTTACATTTCAATCACAAAACATTTTCATTTCACTTCCGCATTGGCGTTTCACTTCAATTCATTTACTACTGATCGCAACACGCTGCGTATGAGCAATGTCGCAGAGGCAATGCGTCCGCCTCTGTCGAAACACCGACTTACTCTGCAGTCTGGCCGTCTGTTCTAGCCATATAGTAGTCACAACCTAATAGTCAACGCTGTCTTCCAGGCGGCCCAGCGTCTGCCACAGCATATATTTCTAAGTGTGTGTGTGCGTGTGTGTGTCTGTGTGCCTGTGTGTGTGTCTGTGTGTGTGCATGTAGGCGTAGGCCGTAAGAGCAGACAACACGAGGCTGTTCCGCCTTGTTCTGCCCTGTCGTGCTGTTGTTGGAAATTTAAAAGAATCAAAGGCAACGACAAAGAGCGAAATTAAGTATTTAGTTGTAACAGCCCAGTCAAGCATTCTGGCTAGCATACTATGTATATAGTACGATACGCTTGCCGAGGGGCAGGTGGGGCATTGGGGCATCGGGTGGTGCCGTGTTCTCTCCCACATCGCCGTAGAGTGGCACACATGTTATTATTAAGAATAGGGGTGCACGAAACCCTAACAATGGGGAATTCGATTGCATAAAACACGGACGCATCTATGTACATACAAGTAGCATTTAAGGCAAAGAAATTAATGTATATTAAAGAATGAACATTTAACAAGTCCAAGTAAGTAAATATAACAATTCAGTAATAACTAAACATGTTATTTTGAATAAGTACTATATAGTAATCAATATTTCATTAATTGTTGTTTATTTATTTCACTTTGAAATCACTTTTTAATAAACAAACAAGCTGAAAATATATAGATATATGTCAGTTCTTTGATATACATTAACAATTAATATAATATATATTTATAAATTGTTTCTCATTTTAGGTAAAAGTAACAAACAACGCTTTGGTAATTCACTTCTGACTGATGACAAAAGGTAGGTTCTATTTATTATTTCTATTTTACAAGCATTTTGTATTCTTTT